CCAAGACAATCACTTCTAACAGAAGTTGTAAAGGGCTCTGGCTAAAAATTGCCATACTGGATGCTGAACAAGAAAAGGACAGAAGAAATTCAGTGCTGATGGTAGGAAATTAATGGCAATTGGGATGAATAATCCCAACTACACACATGCATGCTGATGGTTTCTGAATTGGCTTATGAAATAAATCCTGAGGTCAAACTAGAAAGCTCACTGAAAATGTCAGCTTGGTGTGCAGCAGCACTGAAAAAGGCAAAGGCAGTGCTTGGAATTATTAGGAAGGGACCAGGCAGAAAAAGCGAGCACCACGATGCTGTTACATAAGTCTACTGTGCTTTCGTATTAAGCATATTCAGTGCAATTCTGTTTGTCCCTCTTCAGTCAGGGTGGAGGTGGTGCTGTGGGAAAGTAATTTTCCTTGTGGGAAAAAAGTCTCAGGGTGCAACACTGCAGCCTCTCAACTTCATCTGGGCAGCCACGAGAGTCTTCCAAGTCCCAGCTCTGAGTTGAGAGCTTTCAGGCATCCACACTAGATAGCGTCCTCAGCCTGCTAGGTATGTTGTGTTTATTTTCTTGTATGCTTGGTTTGTGTGTGCATCAGCCTCTGAGTCTTTCTTAGCCTCTTTCAGTCAGATATCACGTTGCTGAGCAGGGAAACAATAAAACTTGGGACTGGTTCACAACAGGATTTTAGCCTGAAGCACGTGATGAAGCACACAATGTTTCCTCCAATCCACTGACTTCACACACTGGGTCAGTCAACGTGAGGGCCCCTCACCTACCATCACGATGCACGTGTGCCGTACACAACACTTCCCCACCCAATGCTATTTATGTGCTTCTATCCTAATTTATTCAGATTACTTGGATCACATTAAGCATTGACACATATCATGATAGCCCATCCTGAAGATAAGCTACGCAGAGTAGGCTGTTCATGAAGCAACCCCTGATGTACCTGACAGATGGCTTGGCTCTCAGCCTCCTCTCCTCTCCCTGCTACCATCATGACACTTTTCCACTTTGTGCAACTGTTCCCCGCTCTCCATTTCCTGCCAGAAATAACTTTTGGCAACCTCTGATGTGACAGCCCCGCTGAAGGTGCCCAGGCTTCACTGTTCACCACCCCTTTTTGCACTGTAAATATGTACCTTTTTAATTTTTTTTGCATTCTTTAATGTAGTTTGACTTGTGGATGGACAGCCTTGACTGGGCAATGACTTGGCATGTGTCTGTTGTCAAAATGCAGCAGGCACCCATCATAGACATTAACCAAGGGAAGCTGCATTTTTAAATTTTCTTTCCCCTGACAACTGTCAAAAGGTGAGTAGTCAATGAAAAACAAAATGGCAAGTGATCTTTGCTCATGAAAGTGGTCAAAGAACTACTCCCTTCACAATGAGATCCTCAGCCCTTTTTGGATGGACCTGACTCTTCTCAGTGCCTTGCATCCTTTCCACTGTATCCAGAGGCTTCAAGATGCTTGGAAAGGCATAGAAATTCGGGTTTCCTTTATCTTTTTAATCAGGGCTAATCAAGATTTTTCCCAGCAATGTATATATACACCCCTGTTTTCAGCCATCCCCCCAGATGCTGGTCCAGCGCTCAGCGGTGGCTAGCTAAGACCCACCAGCTGTTTGTCTAGGCTCAGCAAGCCTTTTTGTGCTCATGCTAAGTGGCTCCACAGGATTTGGGGCTGCACGTTGGCTGGTTGCCCACAGGTGATACAAAACCCTCCAACCAGCCGTGGTGGGCTAGGGTGGTACAATAGCTGCAAAGCAGTGATCTGCAGGAAGCACTCTGGGTCTGACAACATGCTAAGCCTCCATGTTTCAGATCCACGGTGGCTTAGTGCATTGGGCTAACCCAGTCACTGCACTAAAAGTACTCTCTTCGCTGGTTAAAGAAATGCAGTCATGTGCTGGTGTGCCAGTGTGGTGTGCTGGTTAAGAGCCTGGGACTGGGCCTCAGACGAGCTGGGTTATAGTCCCCGCTCAGCCATGGAGCCAACTGGGTGACTTTGGGCCAGTCACAGGCTCCCAGCCCAACCTACCTCACAGGGTTGTTGTTGTGGGGATAAGATGGAGGAGGAGAATGATGTAAGCTGCTTGAGCCCTTCGTAGGAAAAAGGCAGGATATAAATTGAAAAATAAATACATTAATAAAATGCATGAAAAATGTTGAAAAACCTGAAGGCAGCAGGATTCCTCTTAGAACCATCCCTTCCATTGGTAAGAGAGCTGACGGAGTGCAGTCGCTGAAGTGCTGGACTAGGATTCTAGGCCTCACTTGGCCACAGGGCAATGTTGGGCCAGGCTCTGGCCACCAGGGCTGCACCATCACCAAGGAAAAGAAGCCATAGCTGTACGTGAACATGATTTGCCCACTTATACTTGTGGCACATGGGATCCCATGTTATCCAGCTATGGTCAGGTGTGTGGCGGGAGTGCCTTCCAAGCACTCCAGAAACCTGCAACTAGCTATGGGTTTTGGGGTGGAAGCCATCCCCATCATGCACCTTATCTAGGTCACATGACACAGCAATCAGGCATGGAGGCAGGTGCAGGGAAGCTGCCATGCCTTCTTTTCCCAGTGATCACTGAAATCCAGTCTTTGACTTACAGACTGGCCTACTATACAGGGTTGTTGTGAGAATAAATCCAGGAGGAAGAGTATGTAAAGTGCCTTGGGTTCCATGCAGGAAAAAGGGGGTAGGATGGAAATAGAAGTACAATTATAATGGAATGAAAGCATGCTGATGAAATGTGTGCCACAAAGAGACAATTTCTGCTACAGGTCCCGTCTGTTCCATTCTGGTGGTATGAGAACCAGTGGGAATGGCTTAACATGATAAAACCTGTTTTGCAATGTTCATTTCCTCTCCTTTCCCCAGATCATTCTCTTCCTCCGCCTGCTTTCCCTGCTCCATTCTCAGGCCGCTTTAGATGGGATTAGCAGGCAGGGGATCCCTAGGGCTTTCAAAGGGTTTTCAGCTCACACCTGCAGGACTGTGAATCACCTCAAAACAACGAAAACCACATGGCCTTCCACATTTCTTCTGCCTTTTTGCAGTGACAGCACTCACGGGTCACATCTGTGCCCCGCCTTTCTTCTTCTCACAAGGAAACCGAGGCGGCTCCTCCTCTCCTTTCAGAACAACCCTGAGAGTTGGGTTGGGCCCAGAGTGGGTGACTGGCCCAGAGTCACCCAGGGAGCTTCATGGCCAATGGGGACAAGAACCTGGATCCCCCCAGCTCCAGCTCCATCCTCAAATCACTCTGCCATTGGCTTCCCCATGCCATGCATTGGCCATGGCACTTGCTGCTTCATCAACAGGTGACCACATTTGAGGAAAAATGCCAAGAGAGTGGCACCTCTCCAACACTGCAGGCTTCAGTGTAGACCCTCCCTGGGAAGGCCTTTGTAATGAATGCAAGGCAGAGAAAGAGAAAGAGTCCACGGCTCTTGTTGATGTAGCCCTCATCTGTGATCATAAGGCATCTTCACAGCAGCCTCTTTGCTAAACTAATGGTCCCCAGTCAAGGGGCAGGTTCACACAACACAACAAGGCGGTCTGCATTGAAAGCCCTGCAGTGTGGCTTGTTTGCCCAGGACCTGTGATGTGCCTGAGTGATGGTCCCTCAAGTCTTCTTGCTGCAGCCCAGGGGGCACTCTGGGATGGCTCTCAGAAGGGGCTTGAGCAGGGGTGGCAGCTGCCTCCAGGGGCCCTAGCAACCTGGGGGTGGGGGCTCCCAGGGGTTCCCCATGCTGATCCTGGCACAGAAGGGCTACTCGACAACCCTCTGCCAGGACTGCCTGTGGTGGGGCAAGCTGTGTTCTCCTGGGCCTTCCCCAGGAAGGCCAAAAGAATATGCCTCTTGCCCTGACCCACCAGCTGCACAGATTGCCTCACAGGCTGGTCAGTGTAGTGATGGGGTCACATTCTATGGGGAACCCCTTGAGAACACCCCAGAGAACATGCCTCTCCCCCATGCTCATTTGCTGTGGCACCAGCAGGTGCACCATTGGGCAAGGGCAGGGTGGGGAAGCTGCAATCTCCAAGGTCTTCCAGGACAACCTATCTCAAATTGGCAGGCGGAACTGGCCGGAGCGCCTTCCTTCTCCTTGCCAGCTTTGCCAGGGAGAGGGGGCAGCTGCAGCTGGCTGGCTGAAGCCATTTCCTGTTCCCCACGGACTGAACCAGCAGGCCGGGATGTGGCTAGCAGCAGCGCTGGTCTGTGCTGTCTGCCACCTCCTCAAGCCCTGAATGGTATCTGTGGCTGCAGCACAGAGCAGAGTCTGAGGAAGCCAGCCATAGCTGCGCTAAGTGCCACTTGGGCACTTTGGGAGGCTGTTGCTGGAGCGTTTTGATCAGTTGGCAAGCCTTTCAATAGGCTCCTGAGGGTTTGGGAGCTTGCTAGAAACAGAACGCAGCAAACCCAGGAATGGCTGCAGAACCTCGCAGCAAGCCATGGCCATGGCATCCAACTGCGTCTGTCTTTTCTGGTACCACAGGAATTCCGTGAAGGAAGATGGAATGATTGCACAAGGTCTTTTGAGAGTTCTCCACCGAGAAGCATGCAGTGTTATTTGTTCTGTTCTAAACATCAGGGACAAGGGAACAACTATCTGTGTCCTGTAGACTTGCAAATTTAGAAAAACACAATTTGATACCAAGTGCATTGCTTCTCTGTGCATGCAAAGCAGGTAGGGTGGGTAGCGCAGATAAGCCTGCAATGCTTATATCAATGTACTGCTTACAGTTTGAAAATGAATGAAGGAGAATGGTTCCATAATATGATTGCAGAGATATGTCTTTATGACATGGGACTGCTCAGAAATGCAAGCATAGAAAGCAAAGACATAGAGTTTTGTTCTGTTTGTTTTTTTAAGGAGAAAGCCTCTGTTTCTTCTACTACAAAGGTCTTCTAGCAAATTGTTTCCTAAGAAGTAACCTGTTCCTGCCATGACATGACTGAAGTGCCATTGGAGATGGAGCACTTCAAAATGTTTCATTAATAGACATTTTATTGTATTATGTTATTTAATGAACAAAACACTTTTTATTTAGACAGATGAGCCTCTTTGCAATCACACTACCTCTACTTTGTTTTCACTCATTATTGTTCTGCCCACCCCCAGTCAGATCAATTCACACGTCATTTCTAGGCACCTAAAAAACTCCCCTGCACATCTCTGTCTTCCAAAACCACCAAGGCCTGACTCTGAGGCCGTTCTCTGGCTCTGCCTTACCACAGTCTTCAAGGATAGGTGGAAAATACATCAGAAAACCTTTGGAAGAAGGTTAACATCAAACTGGTACGATCGCTCCAGTATCACAGTCCCTTCAGCTGCCATAGACTAGGATTCCAGAGAGCTTGAGCAGTGGACATGACCAAAAGTCCCCGAGTCTCTGAGCCACTTTTATTAGCAGTAAAATATCTAACAGTTGTCTGCGCACCTGGGGATTTTGAAGGATCCCACGGATGCAGACCAGTGCGATACATCTGGAGCTTTTCCTTTGTTGCTTATGTAGACAAACGTTCATGATCACGCAGAAGAATATCAGAGCAAGTATCCAAGCGAGAGACATCTGCGCTCACTTTCACATTCTGCACGTGTCCTGGAGCTGTCCTGGGAACACATGTTAAGGCATGGACACAAGGTAAATACGAACAAAGCAAGGCAATGAATTGAGCCATATTGATGAGCCTTTGTCTTTCTGTCTCAGGCATGGTAGTAATCATTTGTAGGCTCCCTGTAAGATATATAATGATGACAAGGACAATGAGGATACATACATTAAAGCATTTGTTCCCTGAAATCTAGGCCCAAAGGTAGCATTTACAGTGGGGGAAAAAGAGAAATCTCATTTACTTGTAATCGCACCTGGGCTTGTTTTTGCAATATGGTCTTGGTTTAAAAAAAACAAAAGCAACTCTAAACAGGAATTGCTACAGAGGGTGGTCCTGACTTCTGAAGGAGTTGCACTGCATTTTAATTTTATTTGGACTTTAAAAAAAAAACCCTCTCACATGTCTGTAGGTCTGCAAAATCTCTTTGGTTTGACTGGTCAAGCTACTTATAAGCATGTGCCCCCACCACAACCAGGAAACAGGGTGGATTTAGAAGACATGCTAAGCCACTCCCTGGGGGTGTTGGAGAGATAGAAACAGCAACTCAGAAGGGGTCTCCTGGGCCATCTAGACTGACCCTCGGCTCCAGCCAGCTCCACTTATGACATGCCTACCATGTTGCATGTCATGTGAAGCCAGCCGCTCTTTCCTTGAGTGGTATCTCATTAGCTGGTGCTCATTGTCCAGTTCTCCCCTGCCTTCCAGTTTCTGGGCTAGGAAAGCTTAGAAAAATGCCTGGCAGTTAGTTCTGTAATGGCTATGCAGATACCAGCCACTTTATTGGTTCTTTTGGGTCTTACCTCTGGCACTGACAAGTCCTCTTTGCAAGTAAATGTTGCCTCGCCTGGCTTATTCTCTTGGCTATTTTCTGCCAAAAGACAAAGGGAAGTTCCTTACTTTCTGTGTTCCCTTGAGTTTTCTTCTCCTGTGTGCATGAGACTCATCTCACTACCCCTTCCATTTCTGGACACATGGAGACTCACCCTTTTCCGCTGAATTTTTTTGCAAGTGAGCGCACACACTCCTGCCATGATAAGCAACAGCAGCGCGCCGGCTGCATAGAGTACTACTGCCAATGGGAAATCTTTCTTTACGACGGCCTCTGCTGTGGAAGAAAAAGGTAAAGGCGGAGCTGAGAGGGGAAGGGACCCAAGGGCACGGGGCAAGGCAAGAGTTGATCCTGTTGCTGATTGCCAGCTCTGTACGGTGTGCCCCAGCCAAGAAAATATGTGCTATGCTCAATCTGCTGAGCACGGAAGATGCTACAAGAGTGTGTTGGTTTTGTGGCAACAGAGCTACACAGCTACCACCTCTGAAACCTACCCAAAAGGTATTTAATCCTGATCTTGACACTGTTCTTCACAACGAGATTGCAGAGCCACTGCCCTGCAGTTCTGGTCACGTGACAGAATTTGTTTTCCGGAAGGTGAGGGTCACATATGCTCTCATTTGCATGCTCCCAGCATAATTTGGCCTTGGGAGGGAGACGAGCAGAGGTGTGGCAACACAAGGTCACATTTGCTTCTTTGGAGGTGAGGTGAGGGGGGTCGGCCGAAACTGCGGGAAGAACAGGAAAGGAAAGTTAACGGGGACGCAGCTTCCCCAAGTCTCAGGACAGAAGGTCAAGCATCCATACTGCCCATGCTGTTAAGGATGTAAGGTCCTGGGTTAGCACAGGGTACAGTTCCCTTCCTGTGGAAACGTCAAATAATAACAGATGTGGCTCTATCAGTTTCTACAGAGAGGGTTACACTGCAGAGAAAGACAAAGCAGACTTTCCTATGTTTCTGGTATCAAAATACGTGGTTTTTAGCATACACACACATAGCAGAGCCTGCAGAAAGCAATCAATCCGTCACTGCAGAGAACAAGAATGGGGAAATATTTGTGACTGCCTAGAATATCCTTGAGCCAGAAATAATATATTATTATTTATAATATATAAATATAATAATATATAATATATAATATATAATATATATAATATATAATTATAATATATTATTTATAATATATTTATTATTATATTATAATTATAATAATAATAATAATAATTATTATTATTATTATAACATTTCTATGCCACCCCTTGCTGAAGCCTCGGGGCGGCTTACAACACAATAAGATACATTCAAATACAATAGAACATAATAAATTACCACTTAAATACAAAAATACACTGAGATACAATAATATAAAATTAAAATTAACAGTATAAAATAAGTAAATAAAGAATATAGGAGGAGAAAAGAGAAGGAAGAAGAAGTTGTCCTGGCCAGATCATATATTTTAACAATTAAAATGATGTTTAAATAAAAAGGTCGCAAACCGTGTTGATCAAACACTTAAAACACCTCTCTCCTAGTTCAAGGTCAGAGCCTCCTGCAGCTGCCTTAAAGGTGAAAAGAAGAGTTAGGTGGTCTGGTCACTTAATCTGAATGATTCCAAGTGGCTGTGCCTATTTCCTAGCCAGCAATTTTATCAGCTATAGTGGGTTTTGCAAGGGTGACATATGTGCATCTATTTTTAAGCAGCTCAGTTCTGCCCCCCATGAGCCTCTCTGGGTGTGGTCTCTCCTTCCCTGTTTGACTGCCTTAAGGTCAAACTAGATGTGTTCTTACCTGTGTGAAAACAATTTTTGTTAGGCAAATTGCAGCCTGTACTGGTAGAAGTGTGGAGGGGGAGTGTCTTTCAGACCCTTGGTCAGTTTTTTCTAGGTTTGTCATAGCCGGAATACAAGTTGCTGTTCCGTTAAGCTCCTGCATCTGCCTCATTTGTGATTCAGGGAACAGACTTTCTGGATGTTGAACTGCACTAATATGTATATGTCCCCTGAATCACATGTCAACATGGATGTTATATGGAGCCATAAGGAGGCTTGCTGAGTCAGCCATAGCTGGAACAGAAAGTCTGCAGGTCGTATTAATTGCAGTCAAAGGTGGAGCAGTACTGTCATGGGAACAGGTATAAGCAATAGCTACAGATCTGAATGAAGGCAAAATGCATGACTTGGACCAACAGGGCTCATGCCTCAACTTGGGAATATTCTGAGTAAAGCAATATAATCCCTGTGGTTCCTGTGGATGTGTCCCTAAACCCAGGGTGTTCCTGTCATAAGGTGACATATGCTGCAAATGCTCTGGAGCCAAATGTCAACAGCGACAGATCCCAAACTAGAGAAGGGCATGTACGAACTGTTCATTTCAACACTGGTGGCGGCGGCGGCATACCCAAAAAAGCCAAGGGGCCAAGGGGCATCAGACGCTGCTGTGGCAGTGCGGCCAATGTAAAGACGACACCCGAAAGCGTTGCAGCCAATTGGAGGGGAGAGTGCGAAGTGTGCAGGCAAATACCACCCTAGTAGCTTTGGGAAGTGTCAGAATATACCAAAGGGTGTAATAGAGGTTCACTGTGTAGCAAGACTTCACTGAGTAGCAGATCTCGCTTTCCAGGTGATAGGGAAAGGTGATCCATCACTGCAGTGTAGGGCAGCATAATCCGTTCTGAACGTTTTCTATAGTTTCATGAGCTAGAAGTAACCTCCAACAAAGTTGACTTCTTCAAGCAATAGGCAAACATTTTTGAAGATCTTGGAGAATTTCTTTGCCCAACACATCTATTTGGACCCATGATCCTTGGATGCAGGAAAATTATATCCCAGAAAAGCTGGAGGCCATCTTTGAAATGCCGGAGATCACAGCAGCTATTTCCAAATGACCAGACCCACTGCTTGGGTCAACTGCATGGTGACAGCAGAGTAAAAGGCTGGTTTTCTTGGGCTTTGCCTTGACCCAGGAGATCTTAACAGAACCTCCAAAAGGCAGAAAGTGTCCATCCCTACCACTGAGGGTGTTCCAAGTAACCTTGGCTTGAAATAAGCTCTTTCTGATCTTGGAAGAGAGGGACAGTTAGTGGTAGCTGAGCATGGATGTTCAGAAACACAGAATTCCAACTGGCATCCAGTCTGCAAGTGAAGTTTTTCCAGCAGGAAAAAAACAAAGGTTTGGGCAACATGGCGACCATAGCAGACAAGGTGACCATCTCAGGAGCTACAAAAAGGAAGTGATGTCATCCTAAAAGATGTCATAGAGCTTGGCAGAAAGGAGTGTGCTTCAAGAAGGAGAAGCTACCATTCCTGGTTGACAGTGACATTTCTAAGGATGGAGTGAAAACAAGGCAAAAACTATTAGGAAGAAAGTTAATTTTCTTTCTGAAGGCATGGAAGATTCTCAAAAGATTCTCAGTGCTATGAATTGCACAGTAGGTGCTCGAGCAGATGGTACCACTGCGAACATGATTCAGTAATGACATCACCTGGTCACGGAGTCCAAAACACAGACAGGCTTGAGCAAGCCACAATAGCTGTACACTGCTATTTTGTTGCAGCCACTCAACTTGGAGAATAAGCTAAGGATAGGCTGCAGGTGTGTCTCTTCACATAGACACACGTTTTTTTAAAAGAGGGGATTATGAACACAGGCAATCCTTCCAATGTGTCCTTTGGTTACTTAGAAGGGACAGGCCCTATCCAACTGGAATAGGAAGGAAAGTAGCCGTGAACACAAAAGTTTTTGTGAGCATGAAGGAGGCAAACGGCTAGTGCTGGTCACTTGCAAGAGCCACTCAGGCACCTTCTGGAGGCACCAAAAACTGGAACCATCAAGGGTTTTTGCTACTTACGCCAAGAGAAGCAAAAGCCTGCTCCCCAGTTCCTGGTACCCACAGTGAGCCTAGTCTCTGAATTCAGACACCATGGCTACTCATTTTGGGTTTAACAACTCCTACAATAAGCCATGGGTTGTCAGGGTAGCTCACTGCCCATGAATAAGCCACCCTGCAACAAACAATCCAGGTTCTCACAACTCACCCACAGTGGATGGTCATATCATGCAAATTTAGTCATTGTTTGTTGAGCACACTGTCCACAGTAAACCAAGCTGGAAAAAAAGCAGTATGGTGCACATGAGCGGAGCCAGCTGGAGCCGGGGGTCAGACTAGATGGCCCAGGAGACCCCTTCTGACTCGCTCTGTTTCTATGTTCCTGTGTATGTTTCTATGTAGACAGAAAAAGTTCTTCTGCTCCCAGCATGTGCCAGCCAGCTTAGTTTGAGAGCACGTCATTAAATTAAGGAATGTACTTCCAGGAGAGGTAGAGATGGCCACCATGTGTGCTGAAGGTGCTGTGTTTCTTAGGGCTGATGCTAATGCAGCTCTATCACGATACAGAGGGATCACACCTTAGTCTTACCTTTCATCACTATCAAGTGGATGGTCTTTTCCAAATACCTATGTTTAAAGTCAAGATGGCACTGGTACTGGCCAGCATCCTCAAACTGGACCAGGGATATTCCTTTGACAGGTAAGGAGTTGCTGGAATCGAGCAAAATCTGCTTTTCCATAAGAGTTGTATTATTTTTCTTCCACTTCCAAGTCAGTTCTCTTGCGATGCTCTCTTCCTTTCGAATATCAACGTTCAATGAGCATGAAAGGGAAATGTTGCTATCAACAGCTGCAAAAGTGATGCCGTCATCGGATTGGTGTAGTAAACCTGGTTTTGCAGCAGATAAGAAGTTAATAAATGATTCAGTCTATGCTAATTCAGTCTATCTTTCTCCCTGCAGAGCATGGAGAACCCCAGGGAGTGGGGTAGCTCAGTGTCCAAGCACATGCTGTGCATGCAGAAGGTCCTGGTTTCTTTCCCTGGACACTCCAGCTCAGGCAAGGAATGAATTCTTCCCTGCTGACCATAGTGGGCCAGAGGCAGACTCCCATGTTCCCATGAGAAGTTCTGTCCGTTCCCACCCAGAACTCAGGTTATCATTTAGATCTCATTTCTAGGCTACTTCAAAAAGCAAAATGACCGTATCACCAATATTTGTTGTAGGACCATCCTGAGACTTTTATGTATAGGACAGGGTATAAAAGTTTGAAACAAACAAATAAATAAGATTAGGCAAAGCCGCATTTTAAAGACAAGGGGGCCAGGTATGAGAAATGGTGCCCAATGATGCCTGTGTAGAAGAGGGGAGGGGAGGGGAGGGGAGGGGAGGGGAGGGGAGGAGCGGAGCGGAGCGGAGCGGAGAGGAGAGGAGAGGAGAGGAGCCCTGTCCCTGAATCAAACTGAACTGCCCTCTTGCCAAGCAACCTTCATTCCTCAGCAGACACTATCAGGAAGCCCAGAAACTGAGCTCAGGGGCAGATTCTCCAGCTGTTTTCTCCCAGAATCTGATATTTAATAGGATACTTCCTTTGCCCTTCCAGTTTCAATGTTTTGCAGAATTATTCACACACACCTCTTTGACTTTTTCACATTTGAGTCTATTATTCTATGTGAAAAGGAGAAGAAACTCCTGAGCTTTTGCTTCTGATGGTCCCTCATCTGAGGAAAAGAAGAAAAGTGGAAGAAGACAGGTGGGAAGAGGAGAGGAGAGGAGAGGAGAGGAGAGGAGAGGAGAGGAGAGGAGAGGAGAGAAACATAGAGAATCAGAAGGGGTCTCCCGGGCCATCTAGTCTGACCCCCAGCTGGCTCCGCTCATGACATGTCCACCATGTGCATGCCCAGCCTATGAAGAGAAGAGAAAGGGGGAGGGGAGGGGTTGCCCAGTACAGTCCCCTTGCCTATGGGGTGGGAGTGGGGATCTTCTGTCATGCCAAAAGGGTAGCAGTGAGGAAAAGTTCCCCCATCTTGCCTTACTGTTCTCCAGGGCCAGCCCAAGACCTTTTGCTACCTGTGTGAAGAAATTGGGCACTGCTTCCCATTGCAGGCACAGCGCCTAACAGAGCTAGCACTCGGATCTTTCTCCAACACAGGTGCTGCAGCAGCATCCTAAAGATGGCAGGCTAGCTTAGGGAGCCACCTGGCAGCCAGCGCTTCCTCCCAACACCTTGCTGCCACCTCCCAGCACCTGCCAGGTGAGATAGTGGCCTGTGCTGCCCAAGAGCGGAGCCAGTCCCACCATGCTGTGCTCTCTGCCCTCAGGGCACGAACTGGCTTTCAAAACAGTGGTTTATTTGCTGTTTTGTCTTAAGGAAAAAAAATCACAGGACCTTCTTGTTCTATTTGTCCAGAAAGGAAAAAGATGTTCGGCATTCTCACATGACTTCGAAGCTTTGCTTCTCTGTGCAAATTGGAGAATGCTGGAAAGATGGGAAATGTATGGCGACCAGTGAAGAAAAGTGGGGCATCTCCAGCACATTGGCCCTGCCTCATGGAGCACACTGAGCCACCGGAAGTCGCAATTTTACATTTTCCTGTCTAGGTGGGCTCTACTATTCTATTCTTACAGGGAAAAGGTGGGGGAGCAATGATTTAATAGCCATGTTCTGTGGCTGCCTTGCAAAAGCCTGAGTGACTACTATTCTGGAATGAACCTGTGGTGTAGAACCAGCCCTAAACATGCCCTGGACCCTTGGAATCAAGACCGGTGTCTTCTCCTACCTATCACCGTGACAACATAGGAGATTCGAGGCCCATTAGGCAAGACGTGACACTCCCAGGTCCCTTGGTCCTCTTTAGATGCCAGGTTCTTTATCTGCAACTTCCTGCTATTGCTTTGCAGGCTCCGCAATGGTTCTTTGCCTGTTACTTTCCTTTTGTGGGGGTCAAGCCACTCAATCTTGATATCAGGCTTTATGTCAGTGGAATGCAGCTCCAGAAGTAAAGTTTCGCCCTCCAGGAGCCATCTCCTCGGAGTTCCTGTTACTGTGAAGGAAAAAGACCTGATCTGGCAACTCCTTTTCATCCCAGGCTTCCCCCTGTGCTCCTTCCAAGGGTGACATCACTCACCGTTCCACACTGTGAGGTGAAAAACCCTCAGTATCTTGTCTGCCACTCCACAGGTGTAACGTCCTTTCTTTGGCTCTGGCAGCAGTAGAGAGAGATTTTTTTTTTCTTGATCTGCAAATGTGTATGTTGCTGATCTGTTGCCTTTGAAGAAAATGGAAATGTGAGGAGTTAAAACTTCTTACTAAAGTCAAAGGTGCCCCTTCCCTGTTGGATACAGGAGAAATGAAACAGCTTTTACTTTTAAAGCCACCGAAGAGAAGTATAGTTTTTTCTTCATGTTTCCAGGTCATTTGCTGCAGGTTTTTTTCCATGGGGCCATATGGACAGGGAAGGACAACAGGTATGCCAGCAATAGCATTGATATCTGTCACTACAGATGCAGGAAGTGTTGCCCCTGAAAGATACACTGGCTCAGAACAACAAACAAACACACACACAACACACACATGCAAAGAAAGTAAGGTCAGCAATAGGACACAAATAATTGCACTGAATTCTCTTAGCACTGAATTCTGGGGATTTCCAGGCCCTGACGTCAGAATCTTAGAGCTTTACCATGTGAAACATGTATTGTGCACACATTGTTGTTTATGGGTCCTTTAGATAATGCTACGAAGCCACAAACTTCCCGTTTTGCTTCTCTTTATAAACAGTACTTTTCACAAGCTTAGTTTTAGAGAAGGGAAGATGTGGCATTTCTTTTGAAAGCAAAATAAAAGAGTTTCACTACTGTAATTGCAGAAAATCAGGAAAGGAAGCATGCTTTGTACAGTGCTAGATACAAAAGCTCATATAGAAAGCTCCTATAAAGTCTGTCGCTCCAGGAATCTATAAGAAAAGATGCCCACAGAGCTACTCAGTCATATTTATTTGTTTTCCAGTAGCTGAGGCTCTCTGGATGGCATGCAACAGCACATGAAAAATGCAGCATTAAAACATGTTAGTATTGTTCTAAATGGTTTCAAGTTTGGTATAAAATTGAAGGATCTTCCAACAGGTTTTACAGAAACCAATTTGCAACACAAACGGGCAGCTCCCGGGCTTCTCTGCTTAGCTCTGCTCCCGCTTCTCTGCTGAGCTTTACCTGGGAAGCAAGTCTGCTTGGGAATTAATGCTGGCGGAGAGGTGATGCTTCAGCTCCCCTCACCGGGGCACCGTTTTATGCTGAAATTGGGTTGCTTAACAAAGCTTTTCATGTGATCGGGGCCTTTAAGCAAGTGGGTCTGCTGCTGCCTCATGAAATTTGGGGCTGAGAAAGCCTTCTTCCCTCCAACAGAGGGGTGAGTGTCATCAGAGGAGAAAGGCTTTCTCTGGGTTTTGCCCTGATGTCAAATTTGCCTGTGCGCCTCTCTCCTCATCTATGTGGCTTAATGGAAGGAGCAGCCTCCAACACTCAGGCTCAGTCTGCAGAATCTACTAAGTTTATTTATTTATTTATTTATTTATTTATTTATTTATTTATTTAAAACATTTCTATGCCGCCCCTATCGCAACAAAGCCTCGGGGCAGCTCACAACAAAAACAAAAACATACAAAATTATGCAAAAACAAAGTTATACACTAAAAGTATTAAAACCCGGTGCATCTCAGCTGAATTTTTTTTAAAATCCTACATGATAAATTAACACTTAAAATAAGTTTTAAATAAAAAGGTCTTAGCCTGGTGCCGAAAAGCAAATAACGACGGTGCCAGGCGGACCTCTCTGGGCAGCGCATTCCACAGGTGGGGCGCCACCGCAGAGAAGGCCCTCCTCCAGGTAAGTTGAGCCGAAGGACTATGACAAGCTTGCCAGTTTATGGCCCAGTGAAAGGTACTGTACAGGCCTATTAAGCCCTCAGGCTGATGGTTCACAGAGAGCTTTTGCAGTTAGGCCAAGGGCGGCATAAGATGGCGTAAGCTGAGGGTTGTGGGTCGCTTCCCCCTACTTGAACAGCTTACAGATGGAGGGTGGGCATGAGCCTGGCCTGGCATTTGGTCCCTTTGCTAAACAGTCATCCTGTCATATTTTGGACTCTTCTTAGGCTGTGGTTCTAGGGGCGCTCATCAGAGCCAGTGTGGCGTAGTGGTTAGGAATGTGGGGCTGGGACTGAGGTGATCCGGGTTCTAGTCCCCACTCAGTCATGGCACTCACTGGGTGACTTTGGGCCAGCCACTCAGCCCAACCTACCTCACAGGGTTGTTGTAGTGAGAGGAGGATAAGGCTGAGAGGAAAAAGAGGATGAGTAAGCGGCCTTGTGTTCCTTGGAAGGGAAAAAAGTGGGACATATATAAAATCCATCAATATAAGTGAATAAGAATGAGCAGGCCACACACTTCAGAGTTGAGAGCCACTAAACTAAACAAAAGTATCCACATTGGCAACTCCACAGCTGTGCCGTGCATGCCTCTTGAGCAAAACTCACCCAGATGAAAGGCAAAGGTGACCAGAACGCTGCTCGGGCCCATATCCCCTGGCACGCTTTGCTCCGTGGGAACGGCAGACCAAAGTTCTGTCCAAGAGATCCTAGCAGGGGAAAGCCAAAACCTATCAGTAAAGGCAGCAGGGTTTTATCCCCAGGATTTCTGGCATTGCACCATGTAAAGCTGCAGCTGGGAAGAGTCAGCCATTTGCAAAGTCAGCCATTTATCCTGAAGCTGATAATCCTTTGGTCCTCTCTGAGCTTCTTTGCATGAAGCGTTTAACCTACCACTTTTCCGAGGCTTCTGCTTCTGGATTCTTTGCAGAGTTAGGATTGGCAGCTTTACATACGATTTTTCCTGTGCTCGCTCGCTCGCTCATTTGGTCTGTCTATCTGTCTGTCTGTCTGCCTTTCTTGCCTTTCTATATGTTCTACGTGTTACACAACCAAAGGCTGACCATGTGGAATAGCACAAATACATCAGACACGCATTCTGATTTTCTCCATCCATTTCCAAACAAAGCACACTTTCCTCCATCTGAAAAGGCCTTGCACAGGAGTCAACCTGGAGGACAACAACATTGTGTAAAGCATCTACAAGCTACCCTGGGTGAGGAATCATGAATGCATGATAAATGCCTCTCTCAATTAGTCATATTGGCACATGCGTGGCTGTCACTGGCCACCAATCCTATTTCCAATACTGTCTAGCACAGGGGTCAGCAACCCGCGGCTCCGAAGCCGCATGCGGCTCTTTCATCCCTCTGCTGCGGCTCCGTTGCTCAAAATATGCGTCACAACCGCCAATGTGCGACACCTGCTGGCATGCGATTTATTGAGCTTTTCAACCCCCAGTAGGCCAACCATGGATAAATCTAAGAAAAGAAAAGTTTCAGAAGAAAACAGAACGTTTAATGGTACGTGGGAAGATTCATTTGCTTTCACTGCTGATGAGACTGGTTTACCAGTATGGTTAATATGTGGTGAGAAATTGGCAAACAACAAAAAGTCGAATGTTACAAGACATTTCCAGAATAAACATACAGCCTTGGCTGAAAAATATCCGAATGGAGATGGGAGAAAAAAAGCCATTTCGGAACTGATGCAGAAGGTTGATCTGAGCATAAATCATTTCAAGAAATGGATTAAGTCTGCAAATTCAACTCCATATGCTAGTTTTGTGGCCACTCAGGAAATAGTCAGGAAGCCGTTCACAGATGGAGAATATGTAAAAGAATCATTCTTTGATTTCATAAATGCAACACACTATAGTTTTTTATACATAGCATAAAGGTAAAGAACGATATATGCAGTGTTATCTTCATTTTAGATGTCAAAAGGGTTTTGTGGCTCCCAGTGTTTTCTTTTCTGTGGGAAACGGGTCCAAATGGCTCTGAGTGTTTAAGGTCGCCAACCCCTGGCCTAGCAGATGAAAGGCATGAAATACTTCCATCATACCCTCTTCCCCTTCCTCCTGCAAGCTCCAACAGCAGGCAATGAGCCCAGAGGACACACTCCTTCCCCCTCCTCTGTCTCTAATTCTTGCAATTTCAGCATAAATCTTGCTTAATATGATATGCCCCATGGCAAAGAAAAACAATATGAACGTCTGATCTTCACTGGCTGTATTCTATAATATTTTGTAGAAAAATATAACATATAAGGAGGAAAAATACACATCAAAACTAGTCAACTTGAAAAAGGAGCTCTCTTGCCACATATGCAGTTAAAGTGTGGGGGAACCTACAGCCCATATAAAACATTATCAGTTTTAAGCTGGAGTCCATACAAAAAGGGAAAACATACCAACAGCAAGTTCTCAGATTGGCAGTTTCTTTCCAAAGAAAAAATGTTTGCTTCTCATCCCCTCCCCTCCAGGCTTAACAACAGATGCCTGGCAAAGATTTCATATCTGAACATGATTTATTTGCTAATTATTATTTGTATATGATGATAATTATTATTTGTACATGATTAGTATTTCACTGTGTAAGCCCTGCTTAATACCATGGGACTTACTATGAGTGCAGAACTATAAGTGAACAGTGTTAAATTATTTAGCTGATTTGATCATGCCTTCCCACACAAACCATTAAAAGACATCAGAGAGTGGCAGGGTGATAGGAAGAGAAGAAAATACAAATGGAACAGCTGAAAGGAAAGTTCTGTCTTTATTTAGGCAAAGCAACCCAAGAGCATCTAAACTCTCACTTTTGCAGCATGTGAGAACAACATTGTTCGTGGTAGAGGAGCTGGGACGCCCTTCGTGTTGGCCTTCAGGACCAAAGTACCGGGACCTTCAGGTCCCTCCCCCGAAAGACCACCAGAAAGCAAAAGCTGATGGAGACAGGAATGCACATGGTTTCATAGGCCCATTTTACTATTTTTACTTTGAATATACATATATTATCCTTTTCTGCAAAAAACTGGTGCTAATTTCCAGTTAAATGTGTTTTTTGTTAGGGCCACAAAGCATATTTGATTTTATTTCTATAGACAGACGTGCTGCTGCTATGATTTAAGTCAGTTTTAAAATGCAAAACTGCCTGAGTTCCGAGGTGTTTTGTATTTTGCTTAGTTTTGATTTTTGTGGTGGTTGTTATTCTCTAATATGCAGGAATATAGGAGCACTTGCAAAGCATGGAATGGCAGGGAGAGGCGACAGAGAGGTTAAGTGTGTGCTTCACCCATGAGCTGAAGCCCTCCCCTCATGAAACCCAGGCCCTAAAACTAGCTAGCTAGCTAGCTGTGCTGCTCCAGGGAGCATCAGTTGCTCAGCCAGTTGCTCCGACGCTCTCGGGCTGCTTGGTGCCCTGAGAAGAATTGACTGCCTGCTGCTGCTGGTTTGGTGCCTCGGCGTCACCCGACCTTGGCAGATCCCTCCACAGTGCTGCCGTGTAGACAGAAAACTAGTAAAGAGTGCCAAGGCACTGCAACCAAAGTGGGGTTCAGAGGCTTTTGCTGCATAACGACAGAAGTCAGTAACCCAGGATGCTGCCACAACAGCCCAGCCAAAGCCAGAACAAGCCAGAAACATCTTGAAATGGGTTGCTACACTTTAGCTAGCATTTAAAGGACGGCGAGCTGATGCATGTAGTAAGATGGTAGTCTGTATTCACTTCCAATTGGTTGGGATTCATAGCCTGTCCCTGAAGAAGTGGAGCAAATGGAGATGATCATACTGTAGACTGCAGCAAATTCAAAGGCACTGATGATACAAGCTTTTCTCTCAAATGTGGTCCATTCATCACTCACTTCAGCAAAGGAAGGTAAGTATTTGGTGCTGGTGCTCTCAGGGGTGTTCTTTTGCTCAAGGGGCATGTTGGAAGGGCTGTTGCTGGTTCATCACTTTTTAAGAAGTGCCCCAATGTACGCAAGTAGTTTCACTTTAAATGAATGTCGTCAGCCTTGCACAAATATGTACTTCACACTTTCAAAGATCCAAAAAGGGCAGCCTTACTTTGGCCATGCCTTGGCGAGTGGCTGTGTCCAAGTGCAGCAGACACCCAACATGGACATTGAAAGGTGATAAGGAGTCTTATTTTTCACTTGACGTTTCTTTGACAGCTGTCAAAAGGCAAGTTTTCAAGAGAAAACAAAGCTGTGCATGATCTTTGCTTGTAAAAGGGGATGACCGCTAGGTCGTGCTCTTCACAGCAAGATCCTATTTTTTGGTTTTTGTTTACTGGATCTGGCTGTTAGTCTTCTGCATCTTTTCCACCCTTTATCAAGAATATAAACAAATAGCAAGGAATTGCAGGAATTGCATCAGGAAGGCTAAAGCAGAAAATGAACTAAGAATAGCAAGGGATGCTAAGCACAACAAGAAAGCCTTCTTCAGATCTAAAGTGGATGGCAGAGTGATAACAGATGACAAAAAAAGGCAGAGGCTCTCAATTCCTACTTGGCCTCAGTCTTCTCCCACAAGGAAATCTGCAATCAAGAGGAAGTTCAAGCTGGAAGTAAGAGATGGCAGCCCAAGACTGACAAAATGGTCAATAGGTGGAATAAACACTTTCAGATCTCCAGAGCCTGATGAACTCCATCCCAGAGTCATAAAAGAGCTAGTGGAAGAACTCTCAGAACCACTGGCTATTATCTTTGATAAATCTTGGAAAACAGGAGAAGTGCCAGATGACTGGTGAAGGGCTAATGCTGTCCCCATCTTTAAAAAGGGGGAAAAATCTGGGAACTATAGACCAATTAGTCTGCCATCAATCCCTGGAAAAATTCTGGAGCAAATAATTTAAAAATTAATCTGCAAGCATCTTGAAGAAAATGCAGTGATTAATAGAAGCCAGCATGGATTTATCAAAAATAAGTCCTGTCAGACTAATTTAATCTCAATTTTTCACTGGGTAACCTCCCAAATGGACAAAAGGAACACTGTGGACATAATCTACCTAGACTTTAGCAAAGCTTTCGACATAGTGCCACACAACATTCTGATAAGCAAATTAGCAAAAACTGGACTAGATGGAAAAACTATTAGGTGGATCCAAAATTGGCTGCTAAATCGGTCACAAAGAGTGCTCATCAATGGCACTTTCTCAAATTAGATGGAGGTAACAAGTGGGGTGCCACAGGGTTCAGATCTGGGCCCAGTGCTCTTCAACATCTTTTTTAATAATTTACATGAGGAAGTACAAGGAAAGATAATCAGATCTTCAGAAGATACAAAACTGGGTGGAATAGCAAACACCCTAGAAGACAGAATGAAGATCCAGGGTGATCTTGATAAACGTGAATGCTGGTCTGAAAGCAACAGAATGAGATTCAGTAAGGACAAGTGCCAAGTCCTCCACCTAGGAAAATGAAACTAAAGACATAAATACAAGATGGGGAATACGTGGCTCAACAGAACTGAACAAGAAAAGATCTTGGAGTAATTGTGGACAATAGGCTAAACATGACCCAACAATGCGATGCAGCCATCAATAGGGCAAATGCTATTCTGGGATGCATTAACAGAAGTATTACTTCCAAATCACGAGTAGGAGTAGTTCCCCATTACTCCTCACTAGTCAGACCTCACCTGGAATACTGTGTCCAGATCTCTGAGTACCAAGATTTAAGAAGGATCCAGGTAAATTAGAAAGGGTCC